ATGGTAGGTAATGACAAAGCTGCAAGAGAGAGCGTCAGAAGGAGCCGCTACCCTAAGAATGAGACGTAGGAGCTGCAAGCCTGTATTCCACGCGCGGGAGAGCATATGCGCTATGATGCGGACCTCTTCGGCCTTCTTGGCGTGTGATTGGCCATGAATAGATCAAAGCCACAAGCGGGGCTTCGTCATCGCTCAGCCCCCGATGCCTTGTTACCTACTCCATGGCGGGAATTCATTATTGCCCTTCCAATGATGAAGAAGGCCTAGTAGGGATTCCATCCAATAGAAGAAGGGAGGGAAAGTGGCAAAGCTATTCCACATTTGATCAACAGACCCACAGCATGGATTTTAGGCCTCTCACAAACCTCAGATTTACTAGTATTTGGCCTCATTGGAAGAGCAATATTGAATTCCCGCCATGGAGTACTCCTGGGGTCCAGTTTGCATGTCACAGATTGCATCTGAAACGATCGACACTGAAAATGCTAATCTGGGTGCTGCTTGAGCGTCAGGCGTCCACCGACCCTCCGCCAATTCAGTTGGCTTGGGTTGTGAGGAACCGAATTCACCGAATACACACCAGTTGTCTAGAGGCCTAGTTGAGATATGACTGATTATCGTAACACTACCTATTATCGATGACTCAAAGCCACCTGAAGCCTGCCTTGCCCACTTGCCGAGGATATCGCAGTCCTACTGGTGCAGTCTCAAGCGTATCGAAGCGTATACATGCGTATTCTCGTGTTGTTGTAGCAGCCCACATGGGGTACTCGGTCCACATAGCAACTCAGAAGGCCCGGAGCAGCAAACGATGATACGTAACCATGGGCTTCCACGCGCCGGGCTCAACACCTACAGTCCTGAGGACTACCCGCTCATAGAGAAGGGCTCATTATCGAATAGAGGTGGTGGAACGGGAAATCTACCTGTTCGCACACACAAGTCAGCCTCTTTATCGGGTCATTACGATACACATACCTACCACACATGCGGCCATGCGGAAACGCCCTCCCAAGAACGTTTGCCGTCCGCCTCAGATGCGGTTGACTTTTGCTCATCTTCTTGTTTCTCTGGGGGGTTCTGATATACCGAAGCCTTGCTGCTATCAGTGTCGCGCTTGGGTGCTACTGATGTATCGAGAGCATGTTTCGCAAGCCAGATCAGCTGCTCTGTACGCGTCGTTGCTCTATCGTTGGCGAGGCGCGTGCATATCTTGTTGACAAAGCGACCGGTAGTCGTTATGCCCTGCGCAGCCTGGAGCTCGTTGACGGCTCGGTCAACGCACCCGGCGCGGTCGGACGCTGAGCTGGAGCTTGATCGTAGCTGGCGCTTGGAAGAGACTGGTGCAGATCTGGAGACACCACGAGCGGTTTGGAGAGGTAATTTGAACATGGTGACGACTGTGCTGGGTAACGGTGAATGTTTGTCGAGAATAAGATCTTGCAAGGGGAGTTGAGACGCGTCTAGGTACGTGACAACTGCCGGCTAGATAGGAAGAAGAAAGGGAGCAGATAAGGTGAAGAGGTGGTGAAGGGGATACTGGTGTGAGCTGGCGAAGAGGAAGGTGAAGGTCGTTTCCATCTCGCCTTAACACAGGAAGGAGCTCTCGGTTATCGAGGCGCAAACTTCATCTATGTGAAAGGGAGGAAGCTGCAACTGTGCCTTGTTTCACAAGTTGAGCGATGCTCCTCTTCAATACCATCTACGATGCATTCTCAGTCTTTCTCTTCCTCGACCGTCTTCCATTCCATGCGTTCTCGTACTATTAGCCGCGCGACTGTTGAAGAAAATGGCGTCAGACTTGTACCCTTTTTGTCTAAGGATCTTGAATTGATGCCATCTCCAAGACCGCAGATGTGACAGGCGCAGGTGAAAGCGCAGTGATGGCGATTCACACCTGGGCACATGTGCACGTGTGGGGAAGGCGCGATGCGCGTTGCCGCTTGGGCTCTAGTGCGCTTGCCCTGCAGCAATCTCCCCGGCCACCCCACGTGGACGGCGCGTCATCTGGTGCATCACGCGTCCCGAGGTCAACAACAGAGGCACCAGACACTGATCGCCTCGTCTCTGCATTCTTGGGATACTGCTATTTGTACAACATCTCAGTTTAATCTATCTTGTCATTTTCATACGGCAAAAGTGGGATTCTAGGCTTCCGGCCCTATCTTTCAGCTCGCATCCACCCAGCCACAAGCTCTAGCAGGTACATAAACGCCGCGCGCTTCGATACCTCTAGACATAGACTCCTCATCTTCTCTCTTCGAACTAACAGCTTTACTAACCTCCGGTACCATGATGCATAGAAGCGTCTTCATAGGAGCTACACTTGTAGCTTCGGCGACAGCATGGAACACAGACGGTACGTCCTTTCACTTTCGCGAATAGCTAGCGCTAAGTCCACACAGTTCATAATCAAGTCGGCTTCATGGCAGAAACCTTCTTCACACCCGAAACCACGTCCGTCCTCGCAGAGATCCTCGAACCCCAATACAACGGCTCAGTCGGGCGCTCAGCAGCATGGGCAGACGCGTATGCACACACCAGCGAAGGTCACTTCTCGTACCAGTGGCACTGGATAGACACACACGATCGTCAACCTGAGAACTGCAGTCTAGACTATGCGCGGGATTGCGCAAAGGGCGGATGCGTTGTTAGTGCTATTGCAAACCAGACGAGCATACTGCGGGAGTGCATAGACCAGGTGTATGCTGGTGATTTGACGGGAGGTGCAAATTTGACTTGCTCTTATGCGTTGAAGTGGGTTGCTCATTTCCTGGGCGACATTCATCAGCCTCTACATGCAAGTGGCCGACAAGTAGGAGGCAATACGTACAAAGTGGTATTTGGTGGCGCTCACACGCAGTTACATTCTGTCAGTATCTTACACCGATACCAAAAGTACGTGCTAACAAACAAGGTCTGGGACGGCTACATACCGTACTTCGCGGCAAACGTCGACCATCCCTTCTCGCACGAGTCGATCGATCCATTCTTCTCTGGGCTCGTCGCTCGTATTCGCAAAGACCAGTTCTACTCCGCGCCGTACATGTGGCTCTCCTGTACCGACCCTTCCATACCCGAGGAGTGCGCAACAAGTTGGGCGAAGGAGAGCAACAAATGGGACTGCGACTACGTGTGGAGTCGCGTAACGAACGACACAGATCTTGGAACTAATGGGTATGCGGCAGGCGCTGTGCCCATCGTAGAGCTTCAGATAAGCAAGGCTGCGCTCAGACTGGGTACATGGTTGAACAACTTGGTCGAAGGGGCCAAACCCACTGTGGAAGAAGAGGAAATAATGGAGCTTTGAAGTGACAATCTAACAAAGAGCATCATTTGCGAACTGCGGCTGGTTGTACATGTGCCACGCTGATCTCACATCATCTTGACTCTCCACATGCGGGCTCAGCCAGTATCTGTTGCATATGCGAACCAGTGGCGTTGATGCAGGATGCCTTGCCTTCAGCCCTACGAAGATGCCGGGACCCCACATCGGCATAGGTGCCATCTCCTTCCCCACATCCGGTTATATACTCTCCCGTCGCTGGCTGCATTGGCAACCAAACATCGAATTGCTTTATCTGCTTTCTATACAGCGATTCTATTTGGAGAAAGAAACTTGGGGATTCTTTCAACATGGCTTTCGACGAGTTCAATGACAAAATCACACCTGCCGTATGTACCTACAACGGCCCCACATCTGCATTCTCGATACTCTTTGGCATCTTCGAACACATGAAGTCGCCTTTGGGACCAACTCTTTCTTGACAAACGAAAATACCAACATTCAAAACTTGGCTGACCACACTCCCAGAACCCAAGCCGGGAAACATCACCAAACCGCGGCTCCTCTGTCCATCAATCCATCGCCATACCCAAGCCCTGCAAACCACTCCGACAATGGCAGCAAGAACAAAACATCGACCGCGATGCCCAAATCAAACTCACAAAACTAGTCCACATGCGCTACCAACACCCTGATCTAGACGAAATAACCACATTCCTCCGTGACTTCGGCATGAGCGTGGCCCAAAAAGCCCCAGGCAAGAAATGGTTCAAAGGCTACGGCTCAGACCAATACGTCTACTACGCACAAGAAGGAGAAAAGAAGTTCCTCGGCGGCTGTTTCGAAGTAGAAAGCTACGCTGAGCTAGAGAAAGCGTCGAAAGTCGCGGGTGCGGGACCTATCGAAGAGTTGATCGACGCACCAGGCGGCGGCCACATGATCACATTGCACGACCCAGAAGGCTTTCCCATAAACCTAATCCACGGCCAGACCAAAAAGGACCCAGGCCCATTTCCCGAAGTCCTAACAACAAACTACGAAAACGAGAAACCCCGCATCGCGCGCTTCCAACGCTTCAAACCCGGTCCCGCCGCCGTCCACAAACTAGGCCACTACGGCCTCTGTGTCCAAAACTTCCAAGCCGAAATGCAATGGTACACCCGCACCTTCAACATCGTGCCCACCGATTTCCTCTACATAAACCCAAACCCCAGCTCCCCCTCCCTCCCCCAGCAAAAAGACGTAGCCATCTTCGCCCACCTCGACCTCGGTCCGGCTTACACAGACCACCACACCATTTTCCTCTCCAGCAACCCCACCTCACATGTCCATCACTGCAGTTTCGAAGTCCACGACTTTGATACACAGAATTTGGGGCATGAGTGGTTGGCGAGTAAGGGGTATAAGAGTGTTTGGGGCGTGGGGAGGCATATATTGGGGAGTCAGTTGTTTGATTATTGGTGGGATACGACGGGGAATATGATTGAGCATTATGCGGATGGGGATTGTGTTAATGAAGAGACGCCTGTGGGGTGGGGGGAGGCGGGGGATGAGAGTTTGGCGGTTTGGGGGCCCGAGGTGCCGAGTTGGTTTTTGGATTGATTGAGGTGGGCTTTTGGAAGTGTGGGGATGGGGTTCTGTGTACTCGGTCCTTTCGCTCCAAGATACAAAGAACTAATTTCTGTACTCCCATACCATCTACAATAACCTTAATCTACCACTCCCTCGCCCTCCCCCACCCCCGATCTGTAACTCCGTCGTTGCCATAATATCTACCAGTAACCAGCTCAGTCTCCTGTGTTAAACCGCCGTCTCCATCCCCTCCCTTACCAAGCTGCCCAACCCCCAACCTCACCGGTATCCTCGCCCCCTCCTCCAACGTCTTCGGCGGCCTCCCAATCTGATTCCCCATATCACTATCCACCCACCCAGGACAACAGCAATTCACTAACATGCCCTCGTTCTCACGTGCCAGAACGACTGTTAGCGCGTTCATCAGCGCTTTACTGACTTGATACGATTTCGGCGGTGCGCCAAACCCGGCGGACTCTTGGGATGATGAGCGTACGGAGTCGATGTATTCTTGAGCCAAGGTGTCGACGCCGGAGATGGAAGTCGCGGACCGGAAACGGGTTGCAGTGGCGCTGGGATAGTTTGACAAGGAAGAGGCGGTGCTGGAGACGTTTACGATACGCGCGTTTGGTGTGGATGACATTTGTCCTTCGGAGAGGAAGAGTTGGCACATTTGTTTTGTGCCGTGGTAGTTCACGTTGATGACTTGTTCGGCGGCATCGGGGGTTTCGTTGTTGTTGTTGTTTATGCCGGCGTTGTTGATCAAGACGTCGATTTTGCCGCTGTCGTTGAGCGCGGTCTTGAGGAAAGATGTTATGGATGATTTGTCTGAGACGTCGAGTTTTGCGTAGCGGATCTCGTTGGGGGGTTTGGCTTGGATTTTGAGGTCTACGCCGCCGCGGGATGTGGCGTAGATGTGGAGGGGTTGGGGGTGTTGGGTGGTGGCTAGGAGGTTGATGATGCCTTGGCCGATTCCGCGGTTGGCGCCGGTGACGACTATTGTTAATGGGGATGCCATGGTTTCTGTTAATTTTTCAGATTAGTGGTTCCGAGTTGTATGCTGTTCAGAAACTACTACAGATATGTTTATGTACTCAGATGTGTACTTGTGAGAGTGGTGATGTCAGGCACGATCCATGACGTAGCGATCTTCACTTGACCACATGTAGCGAGAGAAGAAAGGAAAACATCAAAGGTACTTCAGTCAATGAGCAACGGTGTAATATAAACAGAACTTCTATATTCATATGGCCATGCAGCGCACGATATTCGAAAAGAACTCTGGCGACAGGACCTGATACCAGCTGACCTCGGGCTGTCCATCAACTAAGCTTTCTTTGATTAGTCTCCGTACTCATGATGCTGTCCGTGATGAACGCACGTATTCAGCACATCTCACTCCCTCCATAGGCCCCTTCAACGTGATAAGGGCTTGCTGTCCAGAAGCTCTCCAATCTTCCCCGCCAACCACTCTTCGGCCTCGGGCCAGTCGTCTCGCCCCAGGAGCATGTTGAACTCATTGAGGTCTGTGCGACGCAGTTCTGGTATCTCAAGCATAATCTTCTTGATAAGCTCGGGGGCAGACATTGAACTGGTCAGTACTTCTACGATCGCGAGGTACATGCCTGACTTAGCGGTGAAGCGTGCCTCGGCACATCCGGTCTCCTCCATAGCCTTGGTATAGACTTGACGATAGTGGTGCAGTTGGTATCCCATGCATGGATAGTCGTGCAGAGTGAAGCAAGTGTGCCAATCACGGCGGAGAAAAAAGGGAAGTGAGGCGTAACCCACGAAACGTGGACTTGCGAAGACACTCCAGTCTAGAATGCCTGTAACGTTGCCATCATCGTCGGCGAGAATATTATGGAGGTAGAGATCATTCCCCAGGACAAAGGTCTCTTCCTCGCTAGCCTCGGCGTTAGACGCTTTGGAGGTCCTGATGACGGGATGCGAAAAGATGATCTCGAGCACTTTCCGGTAGCCTAGCGCTCTAAGGCGGTCGCAGGTGCCTGGATACAAGGTATCCAGTACCTCAGAATCTAGGGGCGGCCAAATAGTCTTGAAGTTAGGAGTCAAGTACTCGATACTTGACGCGAATGGTCCGTACTGGTAGACCTGAGTGTCAGACTCCAGGTCTTCATGCGTGAGGTCGGATTCATCCTTCCACTGAGATAAATAGGAAACGCGGGGCGTCTCACTGCTCTCCCCATCGGTAAACGCAGGAATGCCAATGCCCTTGAACTCAACCTTTTGTAGCCCTGCCATAGCCTTGGCAAGTGAACGTAATAGGTTCACACGCTTTACCTCAGTTTCCTTTGAGATACGGACTGCGGTAATGTGGCTCATGTCCGAGGCATCTTCGAACCAAATCTCATGCGCACGACGGCCAGGTAAACGCTTCATGAGTATGTAAGGCGCACCTAGTTTGGATCCCTCTACAGACTCTGCTGATGCGATGACCTTTGGGGCCGGAACATCCGTGTGCTGAAAGAGGTACTTCATAAGACCAACTTCGTTTCTCAGATTGTGGGCGTCTCCCGCTCGCCAGCGAGGTTGCGTGCCCACGGATGGCACCGATACGACGTAGTCTTGATCACCCTGGTCTTTGTGACGGACTTGAAGCGTCACAACGAGGTTCATTTCGCCCTCATAGCGCGAGAGGATTTCGACATCTGCACGCTCAAGCTGGCCGCTGGGATCCACGGATAGCAGGGCAATATCCTTGAACTTGTCGTCTGTAATTCGTCGAAGAGCCTCCCAGTCGTGGCGTTTTAGATTAAGAGCAAGGTGAATGCTTTCATCGTCATCAACAATGTAGCGCTCGTGGTCGTCATCATCATCAGACACTGGTTCGTCCAAGCCAATGCCAGAATTCATGCCGCCATCCTCAGTCTCTTCGTTCCCCTTAGGTCTAGAGGGCTGGTTTCGATAAGTCTTGTTTTGGTTGGCATGTTCGTCGGCTGGAATGCTGTTCGGGTCAGCTGTCGACTCGTGCGCGGTCATGCCAATGTCTAAATTGGCCAGCGTGGATATTATCTTCTCCTCTTCCGATGACATGATGGTCTGAAACAATGCTTCGAATGCGAGTAGTATGTGTAAAGAGCAAGTGGCGAAGTTTTGGTTGCTCTGTAAAGAAGGTGTAGGGTTTCGGACGGTGAGTACTGATGTGGGGAGAATAGGGGACGAACTTATAGTCGAGAGAGCTGGTAGCTCATGGGGTGAAATGAAGCCGCAGAATCATCTGAGAACGATGGCGAATACTGGCTTGCTAAAGGTTCAGAGTGAATGCGGTCGTGTTGTTCGACAGTCGGAAAGCCCAGACTTGTCACGCCAAATTATACTGACACTTGACAACAGCGTGAATTCTGTCACACAATCCTCGACTATTCATGTGAGACATTCTCATTCTGTCTGCAAGATTGAGTGCGGTACAGGAGTGACAGGCATATTGTTGTGCCGTTACTTTCACCCCACAGCCATGGCAAGTAATGGTTCTGGTTTCGCAGTGTTCATTCCGCCGTCGAACCCAGGAAGCTGCAGTGGCCACAGATACGTGAAAGGCTGTACTGAGTTCCTCAAGTATGCTGGTCGTGACAATCGCGCGCAAACTCAGGCTAGGCTTCTGGGCCGGGTTTTGTTTCGCGATCGGTGGGAAATGTGGCAGGTACAAGGCTTGACACGATGACGAAGCCAGTTCAGTACCAAGTGGCCACAGCAATAGATACAAGAGATATACAAGCGCACCGAAAGTCGAAAATAACGGAAGTCAGCAAAGAGCGGAGGATAAGTCGCAGCTTCAACGCGCATGCGCGTAGCAAGGAGCTAGGCGATTGGTGATTAGTCAGCAACGCGCTTTGGTGGTCAGTGCTCCAAAGTTCTTTCCAACTCGAACCTTATCCACATCTCGTCACCAAACACCGCACGTCACGAAAGACACGGAGACTTCTGAGAATTCTTTCCATTCATCACAAACAGATCTTATACGCTTAAGGCGTTTTGAACAGAGGACATTTACACGCGTCGCGCATATCTCATGAACGCCAGGTTGCCTCGCTAAGCTTTCGCTGACCACAGTGCATCACAGCGCAGCCAGTGGTTACCATTATGTCTGATCATCCTGCAATTTTCACATCGCATCTCAGCACCTGCGATTCTATCAACGCAAAACGATGTTCGGGTGCTGACTGATTACGGAACTACATTCGTCAGCGATAGCAAAGAATTGCGCCGATTTTACGCGGAAACAAATCAGTATTTAATTGAAGTACTTACAGAACAGGGACACGTTGATCAGTCTTTCTTCTTCCGCTTTGCTGCAGCTATTTTCTCTTTCATACTCTCCGGCTTCTGCAACTTGGCCCTGGACTTGGAAGAAGCGGCTTTTGCTGCTTTCTCAGCTGCTCTGGCTTTCTGGGAGTCTTTTAATCCCCTTTCTCGATCCCGATTGACCTCTCTGATAGCAAGGTTGTAGGTCATATAAGAGGCGGCATCATTATATGCTTCTTCGTTTGTCTCTTCCTCCTCGATTATACTAAGGAGTACTGCTGGCTTTCGAGGAATTGCATTTGCCTCTGCAGAGTCGTTGTCCGAGGAACGGTCGTTGCTGGTCTTGGGTTTGGTGAGCTGCAAATCCCTATCTGCTACCTTAACGATCTCACAGATCTCAGCGGGCGAACCGTCTGGCGAGACCTTCAGAACTCTAACAAAGCTCGGTTGACCACTGATCAGACCCATGCACATAGTGAACGGAAAGCGGATATCTCCGAGCTTGGGTAAGTCCATCTGCCATCCGATCTGCTCGTGGGGGAACTTGCTCGGGAGCTCATAGTCCAAATTCTTCTTCGCCATCTGGAAAAAGCGGTTATCTTCATACTCGCCGTAATGGTGTAATGAGCAACCATGAGGAGATTCTACTCCGAATCGGTTGCCGCAGAACCGCCACTGGCCATTGGCCATCTGAATGGGTACGCAACAGTATGCAAGATGTAGCCGCTCGAAGCAACTGCGCTTGATTGTGCCGCATCCAGGCTCTATACAGTGGTGCCCTTCCATGTCGGACGTCATTCGCCAAATGTTGCAATAACGGCCACTCCATGAGACAACCCAACCGGGCCCATAGAGTCGCACGAAGGGCAAACTGAATACTGCCATGGTAGATATTCTCAAAGGTAACGGACCAGAACTTTGAGCTTCGAGATCTTGTAATTGGGTCGTTAAGGGGGCAAGGAATGTCTTTGGCTGGGTATTTGATCAACAGTGGAGTTGAATGTGCGCGTACTGATATTGGACAGTAAAGCCAGGGCATTCTGCAAACTTTTGAATCAGCAAGAACTGGGTCGTGTGAAAGGCATAAGTGCAACCTATCGCTTCCTGGTCGCATTTACCGGCAGCAGTGAATCACAAAGAATACGGTCAAAGCTTTCGACTCTTGCAATACATAAACACATTCTCACTTGGACCTTTCAACCACCTGCTACCCTCTCACGATCACGAGTGGCCAACTCAACTCTACTAGCTATGGGTATTCTAAACAATATCACAAGCCTATGGCCGAATCGTCAAGCAAAGGTGACGACACTCAATGCATCTTCCGTCATCCCGCCTGCACTCAACGCCATGGAAGCTCCCAAATCAGGAAGAGCATCGCGCATGCTGGCTTCTTTGCGGAGACTGTTCCACTATAAACACGGTCGAACCGTCTCGCCCAAGACCCACGAAGAACGCACATCCGAGACCAGCGACGACGTGTACCAGCTCGAACCGCTCACACTCAGCCTCGAGCAGGAGTCCAGTGGTGGGTGGGAAGTTGATGACATCTTTCGAGGGTCCGATATCGCTGAGCCCGGTGTTCAGCAGATCACGAATGAAGGCTTTGCGCAGTCGTCCGATGACCATGTCGACATTGCGAAAAACAATCACGTTCTTAACAAAGTAGACAAAGGATCAACCGCTTGCGAGAGCACCGCAACTGACGACAAACGTACAATTCGTGAAGCTGGGAGCCGATCCACCGTCACC